AAAAATCGCTAACCGCTAGAATAGCATCTAGAGAATGAATAGCAGAGACAATATTTGTTCAGTCAGTAGTTAACCTTTAAAGAATAGTTCAAAAACCTCTTATTTACGGAGAAAATAAAACTTATAATCCAATAAAACTAGGATCACAAAATGATGATATTTTATCCGAAGGGATTAGGAAGAGAAAAACCTGCTGACTAGAACTCAACACATCATAGACCACCTACAAATTTGTATCATAGCCTCATAGGTGTGCTGTGTACACATAGAAAACAAAACCCACTTGGACAAATGGATCCAAACGAGTAAGAATAATATTGTGCACACTACTTCACTTATACCATGTTGTATATTGACGTGGTGCACAAAAGTGGTATGTGTAACATTGTTGAACAAGTAATCTAGCTCATATTGTTAAAGAATACTACAAGTAGATCAAGTGAATGTAATTTTATTCTTATACACACTATTTTTGGGTCAGATAATGATGAATTTATTCTTCATTTATACTTTAGTCTCACGTGAATGACTTGTTTTTAACTGAAAAAAAGAGAGAATTAGTTAAGGAGTACGTAAACTGACTTGAACAAACCAGATCATTGATGAAAAAAAACAAGTGATGCCCCGAGTCCTACTAAATAAAACAAAACTTCCTTCTCAATTTATTGAACTTAATTGGAATTGAGCANACTAGTCTAGAGCGTGTATCCAAAGGGATGAGGGTAACTAACCCTTAATAGATGTGAAAAGGGTTACTAAAATACACGATCAACCATTGAACCACTCCTAAAGGTTTTACACGTTGTTATTCTTGATGTTATCAATTTTCTCAATCCTAAGTTTAATGTTTTTAGACACAACATAATAATCTCGCCGCCAACTTGACACGATATTAACGAGTCAGGATTAGGTAAATCTCGAAAAAAGTTTATGAACAACCTCATTTTGTAGATTGTAGTTAACAAATTATGCATACGGTCCGAACATGACACAGTTAATGAAAAGATAGGGGTACTACAAAATATCTTACACTACTTATTAAATAGTTTGGTTAGACTAGACTAATGATAAACACGAAACCCAAATGACATAATTCGAATAACACACAATATACCTCAATTTGATATGAAATAGCATAATCATAATATGATATGAACTCAAAATAATACGACACGACACGCTTATAAAACAATTTATACATTGACATGACCCCCCACCCCCCACATCACCTTACAACTTGCTGTCCTTATGTGGGAACTCGACTAGGAGAGATCGAGACAATTTATGATTCTTTCAAAAAACTACAAGACTAAAAGAAGGAGTAGATAGATAAAACATTTGAACGACCCTACGTTCAATCTGTACAAATTAATTTCTTGGTGCAAGTAGCGGTAAGATATAAATTCACACATCAAGATCGAGTTTTTAACCACATANGTTCAATCTGTACAAATTGATTTCTTGGTGCAAGTAGCGGTAAGATATAAATTCACACATCAAGATCGAGTTTTTAACCACATAAACACAACTTTACTCGATGCATATACATTTCCATGGATGATTATGTGGATTAGAAATTTGTGAGCGATAAAAAAATACATTGAAGTTGGTTAAAGACATGAGAGTTTATGCAGATAGGGGTTGAAAATGTTGTGTTTGACCATTATAGTGTATTGGCTAATGATGATAATTTGGTTGATCAACTGTGGTGGGCTTTCTTGAGGTCAGTGCATGGCTTCATCATCATCACAATCACCTTTCGCTTTTCAACAATAATACAAAAGGATAAGAAAACCAATGACAATTAAAGGGACGGTATAAGGAATGTAACTCTTGTGGTTGTCCTATTTTTCGTTAAATTAATAAAATGATTTTTTTGTTTATAAAAAATAATATACACAACACCCAACAAGCCGACAAAACAATTCTNCAATCACCTTTCGCTTTTCAACAATAATACAAAAGGATAAGAAAACCATGACAATTAAAGGGACGGTATAAGGAATGTAACTCTTGTGGTTGTCCTATTTTTCGTTAAATTAATAAAATGATTTTTTGTTTATAAAAAATAATATACACAACACCCAACAAGCCGACAAAACAATTCTCTAGAGAATAACTCTTTTTTTTTTTAGGATCAAATACTATTAGAGTGAAAGGAACGACGGGATTTGAACTTACACATAACTCAAAAATTTTAAAAAATCGCTAACCGCTAGAATAGCATCTAGAGAATGAATAGCAGAGACAATATTTGTTCAGTCAGTAGTTAACCTTTAAAGAATAGTTCAAAAACCTCTTATTTACGGAGAAAATAAAACTTATAATCCAATAAAACTAGGATCACAAAATGATGATATTTTATCCGAAGGNTAATAACATCTAGAGAATGAATAGCAGAGACAATATTTGTTCAATCAGTACTTAACCTTTAAAGAATAGTTCAAAAACCTCTTATTTACGGAGAAAATAAAACTTATAATCCAATAAAACTAGGATCACAAAATGATGATATTTTATCCGAAGGGATTAGGAAGAGAAAAACCTGCTGACTAGAACTCAACACATCATAGACCACCTACAAATTTGTATCATAGCCTCATAGGTGTGCTGTGTACACATAGAAAACAAAACCCACTTGGACAAATGGATCCAAACGAGTAAGAATAATATTGTGCACACTACTTCACTTATACCATGTTGTATATTGACGTGGTGCACAAAAGTGGTATGTGTAACATTGTTGAACAAGTAATCTAGCTCATATTGTTAAAAGAATACTACAAGTAGATCAAGTGAATGTAATTTTATTCTTATACACACTATTTTTGGGTCAGACAATGATGAATTTATTCTTCATTTATACTTTAGTCTCACGTGGATGACTTGCTTTTAACTGAAAAAAAGAGAGAATTAGTCAAGGAGTACGTAAACTTACTTGAACAAACCTAATCATTGATGAAAAAAAACAAGTGATGCCCCGAATACTACTAAATAAAACAAAACTTCCTTCTCAATTTATTGAACTTAATTGGAATTGAGCAACTACAAAAATCAAAACTCCCATATTCATACACATAGAAATCCATGTACATCTATAAAGTGGATAGAAAGTAGGAGGATGGAAAAGTAGAATGATGAAAAATTTAAAGGATGAAAAATTAGAGAAATAAATAAAACATCATATTTGGTAAGGAAGGAAAATAGGAATGGTGAAAAAATGGATGGATTAACTTTCCGTTCAACTTACCAAAATCAATTCCTCCAAAATCGGAAGGAAAGTAGATGAAAAATTAATTATTTGTATTGAGATATATCTTATTTGTCTATATATATATTGTTTCCATATTAACTAATTGTGAAAATTTTTGACTGAACACGATAACATGACTCAAACTCGATACGAAAATAAACAGGTCAACTCGATACGACACAATTAGTTAAATGAGCTAAGTTAGGTTTGTCTAATATTCGACACAAACCCGTAATGACTCAATACGAATCTGACACAACTCGACTCGACTCGATTATCACCTCGAATTTTAGCCAGCACAAGAAAAAATAAATAGTTATTTTTATTTTTTATCCATCCAACTAATCACAAAGGAAGGAAAGTGTATTCTTCTTACTTTTCATCCACCCTACCAAACGGAGTATAAGTGAAGATTTTTTAGGGTATATAAAAAAGTATTGTATCGTGAGTCATAATAAAATTGAATTAAACTTAATTGTATTTTTTTCATATATTGTAGGCACGATTAAAAAACTTGCCATTGTAAGAGTTTCCCCAATATTGTAGTGGCAATTAGGAAGTGGACAGCATTTACAAATCATAAGATACCAGGTTTTTAAATCATTGTCTCCTTTTTTTTCAATTTGGGATGCCGAACCCGCATGATTGAGCTACTTTTACTAAAGTTTGATTTGACTTATTAATCTTTAAATTTTTTTAGGAAGTATCGATTCCTCTCGTGTTGGCATATTATTTGCTACGTATTACTATTTTTTTGCTTAACAATATTATATATCACACTTTCTTACGTTATTTTTGTTTACTATTTCAACATAGACCATGAGATTAACAGGTCCCACAAAATTTATTAAATATTCAATTATTCTAATTGTATCACATTAAGTGGTATAAGAGAGATAATATCTACAACATTATTCCTTCTTATTATATCATTACAATTCGTATTGTATTATATTTAACGTGTTATAAATGTTAAAATATTATATATATATATATATATCAATTGTATTATATCGAATTTGTGTAATGTTGGAGTTGATGGGCGAATTGACAACCCTAATCTATTTTACTTTGTGTGAAAGTTTAAGAAGAACAAAATATCTCTTTTTTATCTTACGTGGGTCCCAAACACTTTTGGTGAGTGGGTATAAAGACTCGTCATCTTATATAGTTGGGAATCATGTGGCTTAAAGGAGACAAAGGGTTGTGATTGGGTCCCACCAATAAAAACTGTTCCTTTTTTAACTTTGTTTGTCTTAGAAAGATTCCATAAAATTGTTTGTCCGTAACCATGGTCCGTACATGTGTAAAGTATGGTAATTCTTTCATTCTTTTTCTCGCGAGATTCGATAAAAATCATAGAATAACTTAACTGTCAGTATTGTGACTTATTTTTTTTGATATCGTATAAAAAATTATTATTTTTTAATATTTAAATTATAATTAATTGAAATAAATTCGATCATTAATATACACGAATTACTTATAACTTTATCTTTAAAAAATATAATTTTTAAAAATTGTATCTTTATGATAATTAATGTATTTTTCAGTTATAACTTGTATTTTAAAAAATTATAACTTGGCCTCAAAAATTTATAAACTTCAATACGTTGATTATTTATCTTTATTGAGATGCACGTAATTTAATTCGAACAACAATCATCGTTAACCAAAAAACAAAAATAGATATTTCAATCAACATACACAAACAGAAGCATATATACATATACACGCATATATATCAGTCGATCTCAAAAGTAATACAGCCCATGTCCAAATATGGCACACCAAGAAGCCAAACTCTCTCTCCCTCTCCATAAGGTACAAAGACAGTTTATTGGACTAATATACCAGAAATTGTATTGGACCCTACAAAAACTCCAATGCAGCGCACCCCACAGTACCAAAAATAGGCGCGTGCAAAGGGTGACATATTGGTTATAGTAGCCCAGCACGAATTTCTATAATGCTTCTCAATTGGACGGCCGCCAAATGTGGGAACTTAACGACCTGACAGCGATTTCCATAATTTATATATATATATAAAAAAAAAATACTTTGTCATGTGCTTGTCACGTGTCACCATCACACGAGGCCTACTATCTTCTCTAGCGGGCGGCAGCAGCCACGGCTGTAGCAGTGGCACCGGTGGAGCCGAGGGCGACCGATGTTCTTGGGACGGTGATTGGTGGGGCAAAATCTTGTTCATAAAGGAATTGCTCCACGATCATGGTGCTAGGTCCCGCCACGAGCCTCTCCCAAGCTTCATCTGATTCGGCCCCACGTTTCAGAAATGCTTCGGTAGCGTCAAGGTGGTACATGTCCCACTTTAGTTGGTTTTGAAGCCTTAATACGTTTTGTAATTGGCAGCATGCCAATTTACAAGTATTGGCTTTAATTTGATCAATGCTTGCTTCAAGCACTCTAGCTCGAGTGATATCATCAACAATTGACTCAACCCTGAAATATTGATGCATTTCAGGAACTCCAATGGCACGTCTAATCCCTCGTGTGTAATCGCCTTCTGGATTAAAAAATCTTCTTACCTCATCAATTAAACCTGCCTCCATCATTCGATTAACCCGTTTTGATACAAATGAATGAAGGACACGTAATGACAAATCAACCCAAAGGAAACAACAATCATATTTCGAGTTAAATTCAATATGATCATTCACTAGAGCCTTGATATATGAATTGGACCCTCCGGCTATGATCGGAAGTCGATTAGCCCTCACGGTGGATGCTATTGCCATTGATGCATGATGTCGAAAATCACTTGCCGTGAAGTCCACATTAGGGTCCATGATCCCTAGCAAATGGTGAGGGACCCCTCGACATTCCTCTTCAGTGACTTTATTGGTGACTATGTCAAGCCCTTTATACACCTGCATTTTATCACAATTTATGATCTCCGCCTGAAAACGGGTGGCTAGGTCAATGGAAAGTCTCGATTTTCCGGTGCCCGTGGCTCCCATCACTATCACCACCTTGTCCTTTTGGCGCCACGGATTGAAAGGTTCCATTCTGAGCCCCCCTGGGAAGTTCACTAGGGGTTGTGCTGCTTGTTTGCAAGAGAATGATGCCCTCATAGTGTACCTGTAGTTGATTTAACACATCAAGACTAATCAAATAAAGAAAACTACACTATATAAGCTTAAAAAGTCTCCAGAAAAAAAGTGAACCAAACAAACAACAAAAATGCTATCAAGCAAAATTTAACCAAAACACACACACTCTCTCTCTCTCACACACACACCCAAAGCCATGCATACAATATCTTGGAGTAGTAGTTCTGTACCTTTATGTCTCAGATGTGGAAAACTGGAGGAGGAAATGAGAAATCCTTTCTAGGCTGTTGTGTCTTCTCTGTGTTGGGAGTGTGGTGTGAAGGAGGAGGAGAATTAGAAAGTTATGAGAAAGTTGGAGCTTATGGAAAATGGGCTCCTATGGACATTAAGCAAATGCTAGTGGGAAATGAGAATTTGTATGTACCTGCTTAGCTATTACGAGCACCACACATAATATTGCTATCTACAGAAATATTATCTATTTGGAAAGAAAATTATAAAAAGGGGGGATTATTTGGAGAAAGTGAAAGTTTTGGGGTGTATGAATGAATGATTATGACTCACACGTAGATATTCATCTTCATAGACTCTCTCTCTCTCTCTCTCTCTCTATCACTTCACAACCTAAGAGAGTGGGCTAGCTGGGTATTTATGGTCGAGAGAGAAAGGCTTTCATGACAAGAGGTTGCATAGATTTTCCATCACACCGACCCCCCGAGCGTGACAAGTTTATTAATGTAAAATATAAATAAATCACATTTTCTTTTACCTTCAAATAAATTTACTCTATATAAGACCCAAGAAAAAGGAAAAAAAAAATGAAATAAAAAATAGGATGGTCAAAACACTGTTGGAATAATTATTATTTTTTTCTTTATTTTGTTTAACACTCTGGTCATGGTCCTTCAAAAGTTCATGTGACCAACGGTTAGCAATTAGGGTTAAAAGTGCATTAAAAAATATATTAGTGTTTAATGATGCTTACTAATTATAGGTTACACACTAAGGACAATGCTTACTTGCATTCTCGTAGCTTTGTATCAAGGCAAAAAAAATTCTTTAGCGACATATAGAATCTCATACTTTCGAAGAAGTTAAAGAGTAATACAGACCCTCTAACTTATTATCACGATTGTCATTCTAAAATATTCTAAGATAGTTTATTTTTAATTAATTATTATTAGTCAACAAAAAGAATCTTTAGGGGACCTAACAGGAATCCCCTACCTTTAAAAAAAATTGCTTTCACATTATGATTGCACTTGGAGTAGAGTGAGTTTGAGGCTTCTATAATTAATTAATTATAATGCAATGGTTTTGATGGCTCCGTCGTAGAGTTTCATTTAGTATTAGAGAAATATAAGCGTATATCTTTTTTACATAGCCGAGAATTCTCTCAATCACAAGTTATTTAAACTCATGACGACTGCGTGAACAACATGGAATGGACATTATTCTCGCCCCCGCCACCGCCACCGCCACCGCCCCCTCCCTTCTCCCTCCTCCCTCCTCCCTCCTCCCTCGCAAAGTAAAAATAAGGAAATAAATATAAGTGCGCTGTCCTCTTTAACTAGGCTCCTCATAACTACATTCGTACGGATCACACGGAGCTTCCACCATTTTTGAGTAATATATTTTCCAACATTCTGAATGGAACATTGAAACTTTATTTTGATTCAGTTCTTCATGTAACATGGTGGTTGAAATGGAATATAGAAAAGAAAATGCAAAGGAAAAAAGGAGCTCTATTATGCTAAAAGAAACCTTTTTTGAGGGGGCCGAATGAAGAATTCTTTGGGCAAAAAAAAAAAAAAAGTTAGAAAACAAATATATTCATTGTTAATTAACATTGAGGTTTAGTATGGATCTTGGAATTTGAGAACAATTAAAAAATTAATAAAAAAACACAAAACCCTAAACTGTATATCAATTTCTTCTTTATTCTCCTCACCGTTTTTGCAAACCCTATCTTCTCTGCTTTTTTCTCTCTTTTTTTCCGTCTCTCCCAAATTTTATTAATTATCTTTGAGCATTATGCGTCGAAATAAATTTAGGAAGTTCTCTCTCGAAAAAGATAGGAATCGCTTTTTTAATATTTTTTTTCTGTAAGTTGGTATAAATTATTCTACCTTATCATGATATGCATGCATTTTCCTTTTCATTTTGCTTCCAAATGATTGGAAGATTGGAGAATTTCATTGTGTACAATATGCCAATAGTGGTATAAGTTCTTGAAAATGTCAGGTGTTGAGACTATGACTTTGTTTTTAATTAATACTTGGAAGCATAACTGCATAAGTAGAATCCTTAGATGGGGTTTCTGTGGAATTCCATGTAATTATCACCAGATATAGGACTTTCTAAATATAACAACCATCCTTCTAGGGTGTCATGATCGAATTGTGATGCTTGATGAAAAGGCTACCATCTACTCAACCAGAGAGAGAGAGAGAGAGAGAGAGAGGATATACCTAATTCAATAGTTGGGTAAAGTCTCATTTTCTTTGGTGGTCTAGCTAGCAAGTGATTGCACCATGCAGTCCATTTTTTTGTTATTTTTTCTTGCTAACTTTTATATAATGTGTTTTTTTTAATGCTGAATAATCTCAACCATGTATTTTTGATTCGGTGACATAAATGTCAAAAAATCACAATCACCTGTAAATCATGTTGAACCACAAAATACTCTAAATACGTAAATTTTTGGATATGATGACGATTAAAATGGTACTATAGCAAGAGATTATATATTCAAATCTCGCCCCTACCTTGATAATTAAAAAATTTCCACTCATTAGACCCAGATTTTGTCTGCACATGAGGTACATGTTGAAGTAATATATTTCAGTTACACATCCTCCCTCTAATAATTGAAGTTTATTGGATCTACAACACACCATTTGTTAAGTATATATACTTTAACAACCCACACACATTCGCTATACCCGGTATAACTTTGAAGATTCAAACTTGAGACGTGCAAATTCATGAGTTATCATTTATTCAATCAATGAATCAACTCATTCATGTCAGTTTGATGTAGTTAAATACTAGAAAGCATTATCTTAATGAAAACAAAGCAGCATTATGGACTGACATTTGTGTCCACTTTATATTCTTAGCTTTCCCTCTCAATCATGGCATAAGCTCCTTTATATATTAATATTAATCCAACATTAGCATCAAGCTTGCGTCATTTTTTTCAAACTGCGCATAGCCTAAGAGATAATCCCAAAGTAATCCTACAAGCACATTCGAACCTATGATTTGGTCTAATATAATGTTAGATATGAATAACCCGATTTTGACATGACAAATACTTTAATTTGGTACTTAGTAAAAGAGATGACGGGTTCAAGTGTTACGATTTCAGATATACTATAATACAAACGTGATATGAATTCAAAATAACACGATCCAAATACGATATATGTATATACTCGGTATAAAACAACTCAAACATGGTATGATACGATTCGATTAACAATTTATTAACATCCATCCAAACACAAGGTTCTCCTAGTGCAGGCTGCATGCGTGTAACTTAACTGAGAAAAGATTTACAAAACCTAGTATATTGTGCATATAGACAACATGATAGTCATATCTCTCCCACTTATCATCACCACTTTTGGCATATATAAACACAAGTTTAGTGTTGGCTCCTAATAGGCCTATAAACCATTGTGACAATGATTAGGAGATGAAAATTAAACATTATCTCCAACTCCGATCCAAGTACCAACTTGTCTAATAATTTATGCCAAATTGCATTTTAGAAACCCTAATGGAGTCAAACGCTAGTGCCTTGTTTGGACCGACTCGACGTGTGGCATTGATGATGTTGTACAAAGCGATTATATTGTTTTTGGTTCTCAAGAAAATGATGGCATCATTAAATCTAACCTAAACATAAGTGCCACTAAAACAAACAAGGAGGGAGATAAAGGGTGCTTATCATCATGATCTCACCTTAGCCAAACCCTCCTTAATTTACCTGTCATTTCATTTAGAGCAATGTTATTGAGACCTAACTTATTGATCTAATTTATTGACCTAATTCATTATAACATTTGAATTGACTGTGGGGCCCATCAAATATTGAAACTTTGTGTTGATTTAATAGTTTTGCTGAAGCCACATCATTATGTCAGCAAATTAGATCAAATTTTTTTGTCTAAATAGCATTACTCTTTCATTTAATATTTATGGTTTTAAGGAGTAAACTAATCATTCCNCTGCTGAAGTCACATCATTATGTCAGCAAATTAGATCAAATTTTTTTGTCTTAATAGCATTACTCTTTCATTTAATATTTATGGTTTTAAGGAGTAAACTAATCATTCCACAAACTTCTATCTGCTTCATTAGCATTTGGATTAGGAGTGAAAACGAATTGAGTATTAGATTATTCAAGTTCAGCTCGGGATTGTTTGTTGAATTTCACATATTCTATTCAAATTTAGTCAATCAATATTTTTTTCAAACTTAGGCTTGACTTAATTTGGCTTGTTAGAAAGAACAAAATTAAGCTCGAAATTGGGTTGAAGTTTTAACTCAAGTACATATATACTTATATTCAAGATTGTCTTGGATGTGCATTGGCTATTAAAGAGCCATACATTTGTGCATCAAAGTCATTGTAAATACAACAACTTGGAAGCAATCCTTGTCCCATTGGTTTCCAAGGGAATATGAATCATTATTTGTGTTCAAATTTGTGCGTATCTTACAAGCTTAGATAACAAAGAAGACTATTAATCAAATTCGAATCATTTATGAAATAAGATCTACAATAAAACTTAAACTTTATTCGTTTTATAAATAAATAAATTTAACTAATTTTTAATCCGAACTGTATCCGAGTTGTTCATGACTATAGGTTCCTGAGCAAAGACAGCACTACTTTAAACGAGGGAAAAGTAAAATGAACACCACACATGAATGTGTGTGTGGGAGAGGGAGAGAAGATTCAATTTTTTGTTGCAAGAAAAGTAGTTGTCATTTCGATTAGACTTTTGATTATAAGTAATATATATCTTGGAGGAATCATTACTTCACTCACCATGGCCGAAAAAAATAATAATAATTTAAGAAGCAATCATGAACTAAGTCAATGATGAGTATAATAATTGGTTTTTTAAGAATCAGCATGAACATCAAACCTTAAAGAAGCCCCCGTGCAAAACCCTAAGATAACATAATTAAATTACACTTAAAGTCATTCCCATTTATCTTCTTAGTTTAATGAAGGGTCGTTTGTTAGTTTGGGTCCACATTGTCTTGATTCCAAATGACCCCACCTCCATTCAATGAAAGTCCTCAAACAAAAACTTTCTTATAAACCTTGTTAAACAATGTTGGTGGTATAGGATCATTGATAGTAGATAGAGATGTAACTTGAACTGATTAGACAAATTGAATGAATTGAGACGTTACATCGATTGAGACACTAGGCATGCTTAGATTTTTATTTTATTTTTTTAAAGTTGCATGAGCTTGAATTGCATAATTCAGGCTTTAAATTCAAGTTCTGATTTTGTTCAAAGGAGGTTCAGTTTCAATTTTTAGGTTTACATTACTATGGTTTAAATTCAAATTTAATTTGTGG